CTCCTGGTTTGAAAGAGTTTTAAATGTCTGATAGATCTGCTGTGTTTATCATAGAACACTGTCCGTATATCTGTGTATTTGGAGCATTCTGTTAGGAAGTGCAGTTCTGTTTCCATCTGATTCAGATCACAGTGTGTTTTTCTGTGTCTGCCCGTCTCTATCATCAGCTTGTGTCCGCTGAGTCTGTATCTGGTCAACATGCTTCTCAGTTTCTTATCTGACACTGTGTACAGATACTCTCTGCCATACTACTCTCTCTCTTTAGGGCCAAATAGCATTGCGTTTTACTCTGTTGTTGTGTTTGGGTTTGCCAATGAGTGATGTAATCACTGTTTGAATCTGTTTGATTTGTGCAGTAATCTGATGTTTTTAGCGTTGTGATTCAGAGCATCAGTAGATGTTAGTGAAGCATCAGGACTGAAGCTCTGGATCAGCTGAGGGAGGGGCTTGCTTTTGCATGTGTAATATATTTTTACAGAGTTCTACATGCAAGGTCTCAATTGGATGTTTTTCATTCTTTGTGTGAACCACCAAAATGGTACTACATTCTTACTGGTAGCTGAAAAGCCTAATCAAGTTGTCAAAATATTCACTTAACAAACACATAAGAAGCAGGGAATGTGTTAAATTAAAAAAATGGCAGGTGTTTTAATTCTTAGGAAATCTGTGGAGTGTTCTTCCTATAAATGACTGATTGGCATGCATACCTCACCAAATAATGCTGCTCATGTGATGCTCACAATAAATGTGACTCACAACTGATTCCTTTAGAGTTTGATATTGCCATGTTGCTAAGATATCCGTACTCTCAATAATATGCATAAAAATGACATCATAAACATTTTAGGTAAGAATATTAGGTAAATAAATAGCATATTATAAGTAGATATTTTGGTACTTTTCTGCCATCATGGAATAATTTTTTTTTGCATGGAATCACAATGCGTTCTTCATGATTGCCTTTACTGTGAAGAATAATTGTAATGTAGCATTTTAATTTGGCCTAAACAGTGTATTTTAGAAAGCAGTCTACCTTTTGGAACAGGCTTTGTGTTTGTAGTGTTGTGATGCATTAAAATGCTGTCTAAGTAGGCATCTCACCAGGTTTCAGAACAGAGCCTAAAGTATTTTCTTTTGAAGATTTCCATCATGTATCACTCACATTAGATCCAGAGAGTTTCGTGCACTTTGATGGAAGCCAGCGCATACACACACATAAAAATGTCTATGTGTGAGTTGGATCTGTGTTTGAAATCACAGCAAGGTGCGCAGTACTAAGGCCGTCAAACCAACTGAAATCTTTTGTGCAGCGTCTTGCTGTCATTGAATGGCACACATTCAGTGATCTGGGTTAAGATAGCCTTCGCTGTGGTTGGAGTTCACGTGGGGGATGGGGGGGTCTGAGGCATTCTTGAGCGGTGCACCGCCTCATCTGTGGTTTGTGTTTGGAATTCTGGGTTTTGTTCTGTCGTAGCCTGCTTTGCATATTCAAGTGGCTTGACTTGAGCTCAGCTTACTGGATCTTTAATGAGGATGTTTTGTAGGGTGCGAATGTACATCTAAACACTCTAAATGAGGATTTATGTGTTTCAATAGGCATCCCATCCCAATGCAGACGCACATGCTTTTTCAGGCAACATCAGGATGACCACAATGCGCCAATCCCATGCTTGTTTGTTTACCTGCTGCCATGGCAGCAGTGAAGAGCTTTAGCTGAATGGGGTTAATGATGAGGGATTCTTAAGTGGTGATTGTAGCATGATGGGATAGATACCACATATTCACGATTGTGGGAGACCAATTGTAATTATTAAGAATGAACCAGTGAAAATGGGAAAGTTGTATCTGAATACGGAGTGTGCCGTCCCCCCACCCTCACTGTCTATGGTGTTTGTGGAGCTGTTGTGGATACGTGTTTGCTGGCTTAAGGGGTGTTGGCACCCGTGTGTCTATTTGCATCATGTGATTTCCTGATCAGACATCCTGCTCAGTCGCTGCTGTGTCATAATATTGGGTCTTTGCTCAATATTCTCTGTGCTCTACATTCACTCAGTCCAGGAAATAACCTCCATTCCAAAACCTTGTGCGATGCCTCCCTAGACACCATTTTAAGGTGCCATAGGAACGCTCCTTTTGTGAAAGGTTCTTGAAAGTACGAAACAATATTACTGTCCTCTGAAATACTCATTTTGCCCAATGGCATCATTGCAGCAACTTGTTTTTCAATAGTTAATTTGTGACCCTAGACCAGATCTTTAAGTAAAGAACATGTTCCATGAAGATATTTTGTAAATTTCCTACCGTAAATACATCAAAAGTTCATTTTTGATTAGTAATATGCATTGCTTAATTTGGACAACTTTAAAGGCGATTTTCTCAATGTTTAGATTTTTTTTTTGCACCCTCAGATTCCAGATTTTCAAAT